TAAGATAAAAACTTTCTTTTTCTTATAGATGATTATCTAAGATAAAAAATAGTTACCTAATATTTTTTTTATTACAGAAAGAATATGTGATATTTTCTTTTGTGATACTTTTAGAAATAATACGATTATGGCAATAAAGGGAAAAAAAATCTTATATAATAATAAGAATAATAAATATTAAATGGATCAAATAATTTAAAAATATTTTTTAAAAATATTGTTTTTTCTTTGTATTTGTATACTTTAATTGGATATATTTTTAAAAAACAAATTTTCAAATAGAATAAATTTTTAAATATAAATTTCTGAAATTATATTACATATAAATATTCTAATATTTAATTTTTTTTTTTTAGTTCTTTCTATGGAAAAATAATAATTTCATAATAAAGTGGTGTATTTGAGGATATTTAATTAATTTTTTCCTTCACTTTCTTTTTCTTATAGACGACTATCCAAGATAAAAAATAGTTACCTAATATTTTTTTTATTGTAGAAAAGAATGTGATATTTTTGTTTTATAATCTCTCAAAAATAATCGGATTATGGCAATAAAGGTTAAAAAAATTTATATAATAATAAGAATAATAAATGTTTAATTGATCTGATAGTTTATGTGAAATTTGATATTTCTTTTAATTTTCTCTTGAATATATTTATGTGAAATATATACACACATTTAAACTATTTATCCCAAGAATAGAGAAAGGAATTGTATAATACATTTTACCTATTTTGCTCTTTGTTTTTAGTAAAAAGCTTAAAATAACCAACCTAAAAGTGCATGTAAAACTAATTGAACTAATTAGATTTTGAACTATATTTAATTTGAAGCTTTTTTTCATTTTAAAAATTCACTTGAATTTTGATTTAGTTTAGTGTGATTTTAAATTAAGGAGATCATATATGCTCACCTCCCTAAATATAGTTTCAAAAGTTATTCCTCATTTTATTAAGTAAAACCACTTGATTAAAGGTTGTGAAGCAAAATTTTTTTACAATATCATATATAATGATTTTCTTATTTGGTCAAACATGTAAAAAATTAATATTCTTGCAATTATTCATAAATTCTATGGAATATTAATGATTTTATTTGAATCTTATTTGGTCTAAATGAAGTCTATATAATTTATATATAAATTTATTTATTTTTTATATTTAATATAAGCATTTTATATTTAATATAAGGCAAAAGTTCACTAAATTTAAGATTTTGTTATTTATTAAATTGATTATATTGAAAATTAATTTTTTTTTAAAATTGACAAACTTTATAAATAATTTTAAACTTAAAAAGGTATTTACAAATTATTACAATCAATGACTTTAAATATACTTACTTAAACTCATAGGTAGATTTAATTTGATTTAAAATTATTTAACTTATTTTTTAACTATATTTAATTTGATTAAAATATTTAACTTATTTTTAACTATTTATGCATCCATAATAAAAAAGATAAAGTTCTAATATTAAAAAGATAAACAATATAAGAGAGAAATAATAATAAATAGTTAATATTGTATATGAAAATAAGCAAGTATAAACTACGAGTATTACATGTGCAACAAATAAATGCAATAGAAAAGTTAAATGCACGTCATAAAAAAAACTAGAATATATTTTTAACTATTTGATTATGTTTTTGATTATTATAATTTAAAACACTCTATTTAGGAGAGAATTAAAAAAGAAAAAAGTAAATTCTTTTCTTGTCACGAACGAAAGAAGTACAAGTTTTAGCATAAATATTTATTGATTCTTTTCTTAGCTTAGGAAATGGGTTGGTAAATTCCTTCTCTTAATTTTAGTCTTTGATTTTTCCCTTTCTAATAATTTTAGCATAAATATTTATGCCATCTTTGAAACATATTAACAGAACAACAATAACAACAATAAAAAAATCTAGACGTCAACTTGATGATCAACTCCAGCAAGATTGAGGAACAGAAAAAAAAAGCATTCGTCTTTGTGGATATAATTAATATTTTAATATCAAAATACAACCAACTTAACTACTAAGGAACATAAGATGCTAGGAACATAGATGCTAAAAGATATTATAATTGGGCTATAATGGATTAGTTAAATTTCGAATGAGATCTTAGCAAGAAGAAAATAGAAACATTTGTCACAGCTTCGGAAATTCAAAAAAAGAGAAATGGGAAATATTCACGATGAGAAAGGATTAATCAAGAAACAATCAAAATTCCCAATCATTCATTAGCAATGGACAGGTCACTTCAAGTATCAATCATCATAGCAATGACGGGTCCTTCAAGTATAAAAAAGAGCGAAATATCTCGTAAAATAGCAAGCATTCGTCTTTGTGGATATAATTAATATTTTAATATCAAAATACAACCAACTTAACTACTAAGGAACATAAGATGCTAAAAGATATTATATTGGCTATAATGATAGTTAAATTTCGAATGAGATCTTAGCAAGAAAATAGAACATATTGTCAAGCTCGAAAATTCAAAAAAGAGAAATGGAAATATCACATGAGAAGGATAATCAAGAACAATCAAAATTCCCAATCATCATAGCAATGACAGGTCCTTCAAGTATAAAAAAGAGCGAAATATCTCATAAAATAGCTGCATTTCTTCAATATCCTCTAATTGATGAAGAAGATATCACTCCTTACCTTCAAAATTTCATTCCAAGCTCCTCCATTGAATCTTACCTCATTCCAAGCTCCTCCATTGAATCTTACCAATTGCCTCTCAAATATGTTCAACCCAACTCGATTCAAAACTCGGAGTTATCCTCAATACTCTACTGTCTAATAATACCCAATTCAATGATTTAGTGCAACTTGCAACTTCTAAAGATGTCTCTCTAATTAACATTGAGTGTAAAACTGAAAACAACAATGTTCAAACCGTTTGTCAATATGATACTATGCAAGTACCAAAAATTAATATCGAGATTACAAAAACTTTTGTTGTAGAGGACTTTGTCGCAGAAGTATTCAAGGCTATAGAATCACATTATCGTGAAGCTGTTGATAATGCTTCTAAAGGTAATGTTGATCTTATTGAGACCACTTTCACAGAGAGACATGCACATGAATTTTCATTCATTGAAGACCATTCCATTTCTAGTTTTATTTCTAGTTTTTGAGAAGCTTCAAATTGCAACTGTTGCCAACCAACTCATTTCTTGGTAAAATCTATAAGTGCGCTGAATTGTGATTGAATTCATCCTCCACAAAGATTGTGCAGAATTAAATCACAAATTAATGGTTTGAGAGATTAGAATTAAATCACAAATTAATTGGTTTGAGAGATAATTTTCCTCCTTTTTATAAAAAAGTTCCATTTGATTATGATTTTCCTAATCAATATAAATGTAATCTTTGCTAAAAATTCTCAAAATTTTGTTCTGATTGCCTACTTCAAACCCATATAGAAAGTACATTTTTACCCACTATTGTTAAATATGAAGGTCATGTACACGCTCTTAATTTTATTATAATGCCACCATGGGTCAATTTCCAATTCAAATGCTCGAATTGTGATAGAATCGGAAATTCTATTAGCTACAAATGTTACGTGTGTAATTTTGATCTTCACGTGGATTGTGCTTTGCTGACGCGGCAGCGGCTGGAGCTGGGGCTGCAGCAGCGGCAGCAGCAGCGGCAGCAGCAGCGGCTGCAGCAGCGGCTGCAGCTGGAGCAGCAGCAGCAGCTGGAGCAGCAGCAGCAGCGGCTGCAGCTGCTGCAGCAGCAGGTGGAGCGGCATCAGTGGTGGCTGCAGCGGGAGCAGCTGCAGCAGCAGCAGCAGCTGAAGCAGCTGGAGCGGCAGTGGCGGCTGCAGGGGCCAGAGGAGCACAGGCTGTGGCTGGAGGAGCAGCTGGGGCTGAAGGAGGGGCTGCGGCGGCTGGAGGAGCAGCTGCAGCAGATGGAGGAGCAGCTGCGGTGGACGGAGGAGCAGCTGCGGCCGCTGGACCGGCGGCTGCTGCTGCTGGAGCAGCAGCCGCTGTCCTAAGGGAGGCGTGCCTTCGGTTAAAAGGATCTCAGTCAAAAGGAAGATATTTCGAGAAATTTAATTCTACATCTTTATAGGAAGGGAGAAGGCCGATCAAAGATTATGTTTGGTATTTTTTTTATTTCCAGGTTCTGTATGTAATATATATATGTATGGATTTGTTATGGGATTTGCTAAGTAAGCTCTATTTTCTTTCTTTTATTTCCCTAGTTTCCTTCTTTTTCTAATTAATCCGTCTTTGCAACAAATGAGAAAAAATCCATTTTTGCTTAGATTTTATTAAAAAGACTTGCAGGAATTAAACCCAACTATTTCATACAGTTGATAGTTGTTAGCTTATAGAAGTCTCAATCACCTACTGATTTCCATCAGCTACACTTTGGAGCTTTTTCACATCAGTTGATAGCTGATTCATATTATATCATTTTGGACTTTATTAACCTCATAAAAATAATTGCTAATATTTTTTTTTTTTCAAATTGATATTTTTTTATAATAATTTCATTTATAGTTATTTAAAAATAATTTCTTTAAAATATTATTATTTGAAAAAATAATTTCTTTAAAATAATTTAATTTTTAAAATGTAAAAAAATTATTTTATTATATAATACATTAAAATAAAAAATAATACATATATAATATATATATATATATATATATATATATATATATTTACATCATAAATATATAAAAAAACCATTATACCCTTAATAATCCCCTTAATAATCATTTTATATTTTAAAAACAACCGCTACCAATCAGTCATCAGCTACCAACAACTGCTATTGTCACGATCCATCTCCTTGGACCGGACGACACTAAGGCTTGGGTAAGCATAAAGCCTCCAAAACCCATAGCAAGCCTTTCATGACCATAACTAATCTAAGCCCATTATTATTTGGCGCCAAATACTTAATCCGCAAACCTAAGAGTCTTATTGATTCTATACATATGATTCTATACATACATATTTACATGAATACAAGTATTTACAATTATGAGCAAGGACAAGCAACATTCCTAATATCCTTTATTCAGATTTTTAAGTTTATCTACAATTCCAAAAGATTACAGTAATTGCAAAACTTTAACTACATATAGGCAAGAAAGGTCCTTTTTATAAGAAAAGATCTAGCTGCTCCAGAGGCGCCTATGGTAGTTGAAAGAAGAAGCTAATAACCTGGGACAAATAAATGAGGCAGGGGTGAATGCCTCAGCTCAAGTGAATAGTAATAAGTATTTTAAATACCACACACAGTCACGCAGATGCTTTGCCTTAATATCTAAATGTCACACACTTCAATCACCACCAATGTCCATAACGCCAACTCGATCATGAAACTCATCATGAAATTTATACACGAGGTAGAAACGATCGTGCCCGTGTGGCCTGTAATGCAAGATATCACTTCAAATAAATATTATTCAAAAATCACAAAGCCAGGATCACATCGTTCCACATTTCACAATAAACAGATTACACATCACATCTTTATCAATTTGTAGAAATGTTACCCATAGTTTCATGATAGAGGAGCCCATCCCTCTACCGAGGCACGAGGAGTCCATCCCTCATATATGGACCGAGGAGTCCATCCCCCAAATATGAGCCGAGATGCCGATCCCCAATATGGCTAAAGTACCATTAACCACAAGGTTTTCCTTCCCATATTCTCATTTTCCGCTTCCCATATCCGCAGCACACAACATTCATCCATATACACTTCCACGAGTCAAACAAATATTTACAGCAAGGCACTTTAATCACATGATCAAACATTAATAAACAAATCAAAAGTTTGCAAGTAATCACAAGTGACCACTTCACCAGTGACCACGATTCAAGTTATCGAAACATTGTACACATTTAGAAAACATTTACACATTTAGTAAGTGCAAATTCAAACATGAAGCATCCAAGGTAAGCATATAAAATAAGAGAACACTTTGTAACCAATAAACACATTATTCACACTAAAATAATTTTATGTTTAATGCCATTAGAATGATAAGATCAATTATAAGAATGTCAGTTGATATTTTAAATTAATTACCTTAACACATTATCTTAAGTTATCTAAGCTCTTATCTCGACTCATTTCTCCAAATTCCCATTACGATCTTATTACTATTTATTTATTTATCAGTCACTTTTATTGTATTCGTATTGTGAATGGTTTCAATCATCATACTAAAATTCAGCAGCATATCCTTTGAAACTCGGACTAACCACATGCCAAATATCACATTTTCAATATACATATAATGTAGTCACAGCCCATCCATCGGGCACAATCACAATCATTAATAAGTCCCCTTCCCATTAATAAGTCCCCTTCCTCCAATCAATAGTTCACACCAATTAACTATATTCAATTATCAATACAATATTCCAAGTACTAAGTTAAATAATCATATTTATCCAGTTTCCACTACGTTAGCAACAGCAACTAAGGTTTTCATTTTCTTGTTGATTTACATCTAACTCAATTAACATAATTACATAATTTAATAGAATAAATAATTTAGTACTTTAGGTTCTAGCGAAAAATTAATTAACAATGTTAACTGAAAAGTTCAATTAAATCTAGAATCATGATTTGCAGCTCACCGATTGGGAAACCAATTATATCATCGTGTCAGTTAATCGAGGAGAGCATTCTGTCACTAGCGAGTCGCCCGAGTATCGCCAGAGCTCCACAGCCGGCCGCCTCCTTTGCCGCCATACACAGTGGCCAAAACATCAATCTTCACCGGGAACATGCAATCTTTACAACAACTCGCTCTGCAATCTTTACAACAACTCGCTCCAAATTTCACAAGGAGCCCAAAAATGAGATTACTTTTAGGAGGAGGTGAGTAGGTATATCTGACTTGCACCGGCAGCTGCCAAAGCCACCACCATTCATGGTGGTTATGCGATTTTCCAGCAAACCCATACATTGATTTAGGGGAAATATTAAGAAGACCACAAAGAATTAATTCGTGCTCACCCTAACACTCCAGATCGCTAAAAATGGCAAGGCATCGCCGAAAAAAAATCTACAAGAGGAACTCAAAGTTCCAACCTTCGGTTCCCAACAATCGCACATCCAAGACATCAATGGAGGTTAAAACCATGATTCACTTGTCGAGTAGGTCCTTGGAAGTGTCTCCCTTCGCCCGTAGATGATATGTATCATAACTGGAAATCGAAAATAAGGAGTTGGGAAGGGGCTGTCGCACGAAGGAGAGGAGAAAGGTCAAGAAAAAAAAAAGGAAAAAAAAAAAGCAAAGGTAAAAAGATAGACGGAAACGTGGGCCTTTGGGTAGACAAAAAAAAAAAAGCAAAGGTAAAAAGATAGAGGGAAACCAATTATGAAGTTGGTTTGGGTAGTTTTATTATTATTATTATTATTATTATAGATATTTTAGTCAACAACTTCTGTAGGAAGTTGGTTTAGGTTAAAAGCAAATGAATTGGCCAAGTCGAGTTTCAACTCGGTCCGCATAAACCAATTATGATTATATGATATAACTTCGATTCGAAGAGATGGTATTTACGTGGAATTTATAATTTAATTAAATTTGTTTAATTTTAAAATTAATAATTTAGGTCATTTCAGATACGAACCGCTAAACCATTCGGTAAAAGTTAAAATTAGTATTGTATCTATTTTTTTTTAAGTAATTTACTCGTTATAATTTTATAACTCATTATTTTGAATAAAAATTAATATTTTATCAATTTAATATCTCAAGTAAGGTTTTTTAATATGAATGTATGAAAAGGAAAGTCTTTTAAATGTGAATCTATCATATATATATATTGGTCCGAACCGAAATCGGAATCGGTCCGAACCGGAATCGATTCTAACTGAAACTGAAACCGGAGGTATAAGGTTCTATTTCGGTTCCAATATTCTAGGAACCGCAAACTGGTGGTTCCAAAAATCGGTCGGAATCAGATGGAACCGCCGGTTTTTCGGTTGGTTAGAACTGCCGGTTCAAACCGGTGGTTCTAGCCGTTACAAACTGTCAGCAGCTCTTTTTTTAAAAAAATTTTGTTGTGAAATCTCTTAATTATCCCTCCCAACAACTATAAACGGCTACATAACGGCTAGTTTCAAGAGTATTTGTGAAAAAATGATTTTTTGGATTTATTATAAATACCTCATTACCTCATCAATTCCAAATTCCATTTAACAATTTTCCGTCACACAAAAAATCTCTACTCTCTCTACACTTCTACTCTATATCATTTTTCTCTACTCTACAATTTCTCTAATTTTTCATTCACAATTTATTGTGAATTTAATTTATTTCAAATTTCAAATCTTAATTATATCTCTCTAATTTTTTATTTTATTTCAATTTTCTAAATTATATATTATTTTATATATAATGACAAGTGCGAGGAAACTGCAAATTTCTGCTAAAGGAGCAAGGAAAGAGAGAGAAAAACATCAAATTCATTCTTCCCTACAAACGACATCTTCAAATTCACTCCCAACCGATTTAAAATTTTGAGGGATATCCAAATGAAAATATGGAAATTCCAACTCAAGAATCTGAATTTAATAATGAGCAATTACAACGAGAGGAAGAGGAAGAGCAAGGTACACAACTTCTTCAAAGAGTAAGACAGAGTTGCGATATATTCGCCATTCATTTCACGAAAAAATTCAAAGGTAACAAAATGTTCAATGTAATTTGCAATTATTGTGGAAAATCTTATAAATTTAAACAATCAGATGGCTATGGATCATTTTGGAAGCATTTGGAGATAAAACATCCAACAAAAATAGGAGTTGATCGGTCTCAAACACAAATTTCTGGGTACACATCTTTAACCTTTCTTTATTTCAATATCTGAAAAAAAAAAAACACAAAAAAGAAAGAAATAGCAAAATGATTTCTATGGAATTATTTATCTTTAGGGTGGGAAACAAGTAGGTTTTAATCAAATTATGTTAAAAAGCTAAATTTCGCTAAAAGAGGTCCAAGAAATACTGTAAAACGATACATATCTTTTTTATTTTCTGAACTGAAAATTCGTGTTTCAATTTGTTGTGATATTTGGAGTGATCATTGGCAAATGCATTCTTATATGGGCATTACATGTTATTGGATTGATAATGATTGGAAAATTCAAAAAAGAATTATTGCATTTCGTACTTTTTTTTAAAAAAAATTAAGTTCAAGTCGTTTCAAAAAGAAATAAATTTAATTGAAGCATTTTTTAATTTTTTAAGTGTTTTTTTTTAGAAATAATTTTCACAAATTTTCAAATTCTGAAAACCGGTCTTCAAAACTTAAAATTTAAAAGTATGCGATTCGCCGAAAAACCGATCGGAAAACCGATCGGAACTGTCGGTTTTGAAACCGTAAGGAACTGGAACCGTTCGATTCTAAACCGGAACCATGTTAAATTTTAATGAAAGTACTATATTACTGTCCCTTATCCATTTTTTGGAGCCCACCATCTTTCTTATTCAAAATTTGTAAGAGATCGAAAAATTAACGGGCTAATGCATAACTTTGCCTTTAAACTATCGCTCTTTTGTCTAATGGCCCTTGAACTTTGTGGGGGGTTCTATCAGAACTTTCGACTTTCATTTCCTTCATTAACTATTAAACACATTGGATGTCTATTAGTCCACATGTAGGCACCAGACCAGACTCCCAGCCATCATGAGCCTCTGTTTATTGTTGTTGGTTTATGCAGCTGGAATTTTTTTGGTTTATGTCTCTCGTGTCAGGAGAAAAGCAACTTTCATCTTCCTTGGCCTTTAATATTAAAACCCCCTCCTTTTCCTTTCTTTCTTTCAACTGTCTTCATGTGTTCACTTTGTTTTTCTTAGCACAAAAACGTCAAAGACTAAAAAAAAAAAAAAATAATAAAAAAAAAATGCAATTGATTTAAAAGAAAAAAAAAAAAAAAAAAAAAAAAATGCAATTGATAAAGAATTGAATTAAAAGGTATTTTCTGATCTCTCTTTATCTTTACAATTCATAATGCAATTAATGCATTATTCTCTTCCTATTCCTACTCCCTTTTTTTTATCTTTACAATCCTTATCCAGGTTTAAATAGATCTCCTCTCTCGATACCTTTTTGATCGGTGGTGGTGTTGGGTTTTTTTGGTGGGTTTTAAATTTAATTAGGTTGTTCTCGTTGCTGGTTTTTATGATTTGGGTACTTTTAATTTGACGATAATTTAGTTTTACAGTTTTTATTTATAGCTATGGAAGAGAATTTATGCAGAAACTACTATGGAGAGCAACTTAACAAAGAGGTTACTGCAAATAATCCATGACATCAAGAGGGAGCTTCAAAATTGATTTCAAAAACACTCTATTTACCTTCAATTCCTCAGAAAACACAGCCCAGTTAGATGATTTCTTTTGGGTTTTTTTGCCCTTTTCAATGTTTCAATGCGATTCACAAAGGAGAAACAAAATAATTTCAGAGATAGAGGGATTTCAAAATCATTTTTTTATTTGAATGATTTGGGTGAAAGAAATGGGTAAAGAAAATAGTTTTTTTTTATTAATATTCACAATTAGAGGTTGTCATGCCAAGTTGGACACATACCTGGCCAAAAAATTAAATCTTCCAGGTGCATAGTTAATGAAGAAAATGAAAGTTTAAGGATATGATATAATTCTCGCAAAATTCAAAGGCCACTAATAGAAATGATGATAATTCATGGTGAAAATTATACATTAATAATTACAATCAATGCATCAACTGTTGGATTTAATTTTTTATTGTGGGCTTAATATGTAAAATTAAATATGTACAGCAGTCCAATTGTAAAGTCAATTTCAAATGTGGTTTTGATTGTGAATAATTGACCAATTTCAAATGTGGTTTTGATTGTTGAATAATTGACTATTGAGGTCATCAACTATTTATAGATATTAAGTGTAGAGACCATTATTAATAATTCCTATTCGTTAAGGACCGAAATAGGGAATATGTACTAACGTACATGTATCATAAGGTCGTCGGTCCCCAGAGGGAGTTGGGAATACGAATTTCAGGTTTTACGTTCCTTTCGTACTGCTTTCCGCAAAATCGATTCTTCAATTTCTCTGGAAGGCTTGCAAAACCTTAATTCTACACATCAAGATCGAACAAACAACGATGTCAGGTACGCAAACCTTTTCTTATTCAATCTATCTTGTTTGAATCTTCAGTGGTTTGCCACGATCTAGGTTAGTTGTTGGAATTATTGGAGATTAATATAACAAGTGGTATCAGAGCCTTGTGCATAATTGCTAAGATTTTTAGATTGATTTCGTTTATTTTTTTTAATTTGTTACCCTACTGTTTTACGGAATTGAGGTTTTTGTTAAAAAAAAAAAAAAAATTGTTCTCACTGTTCTTCGGATTCCCCAAGAACAGGTAAGTAGTTTGTTGAACTAACGCCATTGGACGATTAATTGTTCGTTTGGTATTTGCTTTTTTTTTTTTTTTTTTTTTTTTTTTTTTTTTTTTAAAAAAAAAAAAAAAAAAAAAAAAAAAGAAGAAGAAACAGGCTGGTTTCTTTGAAGAGAGTCGGCGGAAAGGAGTTTCCGTCTCTGATTGTTTTTTTGGTTTTAAGGTTAGGGATGGTAAATTACGGTTAGGTCCCTGAAAAATTTCGTATTAGGCTCCTAAGTTTCTGGATGCTCTAAAAGCTGGGAAGCAGTTGGACGTTCCTTTAGATTAACTTGTAGGCATTTCTGGATAAAGTTCCGAGAATTATCAGAGAGAGAATCGGAAATAGAAGGTGGAATACCTTGTCCGATCCGATACCATAT